ATGGGAGGGGGGGGCAAGCGATTCTCCCAGCGCGACGACCACCACGACTCCGAAAAGCGAGGCCGCTGGTGGACATAAAGCGACACCGCGGCGTCTCTGTGAAAGTCAGCCGCCATCGAGCAACAGGCTCCAGCGGGAAGAGTTGCCTGCAAGACTGCAGGCCCCAGGACACCTCGGCGCTACGGGTGCTGGCCTCGGGTTCAACCCACCGCCGCTCGCAGTCTACGCTGGTCCGCCGGGGCCCGTTTCACCTCGCTGCGCCCGTCCTGTCGGCCGTGATACCTCGGGGCCGCCCACCGCTGGGGCGGGGGCCGCCACTCCTTCCCAGGCGCAGCATAGCCAGACGGCCTCAGCTGGTTAGATGCGCGTGGGCGACGCGCGGACTCCGCAGCCCACCCGCTACAACTTTCGGGCGCCTCGACGGGGCACTCCCCTCGGCGCCCGACACATCTCACCCCCCCTTGCGCGCCTGACTCGTGACTGTAGAGGCCTCGGCCGCCCTGGGAGCAGCTGCTTTGAGAAGGCAGACGACTTCCGCCGCGCCCCCGGCTGCTCTTCCGGAGAGGAACCGGCGAAACCGCCCCTCCCTCCCGACAGGAAACAGGCGCGGGTAGGGTCCAGCACGGGTCCCAGGCTGGCCACGCCGTTGGCGCCTGGCGGGAACCAGAATGACCCTGGCGTTCGGGGGGCCGCGTGGCAGGAGCGGGGCAGCTCCTCGGCGTTGCAGTCGCGCGCATTGGCGAGGGCGATGCGTGACAGCCTTCGTGAGACGCCCCCTTCTCGTAGCAGCAGCTGCGTTTTTTTGTTTGTAATTTATTATTATTATGAGGATGATGACTATGATGATGATGATGATGATGATGATGTTGATGATGATGTTGATGATGATGATGAACATTATTATTATTGTTATTATTAGTATTATTATTATTAATATCATTATTATTATTATTATCATTATTATTATTACTATTATTATTATTATTATTATTATTATTATTATCATTATTATTATTATCATTATTATTATATTATTACTATTCTTATTATATATATGTATATAAAGTTGAACAGCCGTTAGCTGCACCCCTGGTAGCCTCGGCGCACTTGCAGGTGCAGTGATGCCAGTGATGCTGGCAGGCCGCAGACACCAGGGCCAGCAGGTCGACAGTGCGCAGCGCTACCCTGTGGGAAGCTTTGCCCATACTTCGCCCTTGTTGGGTGGGCGTTCATGGACCTATACCGAACTCTGAGCAGCCGTTAGCTGCATCCCTGGATTATGGGCCCGGGCTCCCGACCTCTCCCTGTCTCTCTCCTGGCGCCGGGTATCCCTGGCGAGCCCCTCCTTGTGGCCGGCTGGTGATGTTTGTCCCCGCCGCCCCCGCCACAGGAGGGTCCCTCGCGGGCTGGGTGGCCGGTCAGGGCTTCGTGTTCCCGCGTCGCAACGTGGGAGATCGCCCCCTGGCGCTGTTGCCCCCTGGTGCCTACTCTCCGGCCACGCTGGCGACGTTCATCCCCGCCAGTGTGGCTTCCTTTCCGCGCTCCGCGCGGCTCTCTACGACGCTATGTCGTGCGTGCGGCCATGGGCCGGGCCCACGGGATTCTCCTCCGGGCCGGTTCATTGCCCTTGCTCGGGGCTGGTGGGCCCCACTGGATACTGGCGGTCGCCTTGGAGTGGTTCAGCCTTCCGTCGTACGTAGGGTTCCATCCTGGCTCCGTCCCAGCCGACCAGGCAGGTCTACGCCGTCGACGTGGCCCTTGCCCAGCTTACCTGGCTGGTCTACGCCGTCGTCGCGGTCTTGGCCCTTGGCGCCCCCTGGCGACTCGACCATCGTATACCTCGCCTTTCCCCGCCACCATGTTTGAGAGGATCGCACGTGCAAGTCACCCACTTGTCCCAGCTTGCACCGCCACCTGTGTAGTCTGACGCCGCAGCGCGTAACACAAAATTCCCTGGCATTTTGCTCAGGGCTGCAGGTTGCTCGAGCTTCCCTGGGCGTTCCAGATCAGCCAGCCAGCCCCCGCCCTGCTGCCCCAGCTGCCGCCTTGTGAGCTGGCCCGGCCGGCTTGTGTCGTGCCCAGTAGCTAATTAGGCTTGCCCGTCGGCCTGGACACCCTGTTCGCCGCCTGCGCTCTTCGCTCGCGGCTGCGACCAAAAAAGTATCCCCGCCAACCCATCCACAATCGATGCGTAGGGGAGCTGACCGAAGAAGGGAAGTACGGCGGCGAGGAGGAGGAGGGCGAACAAAAATGCCAGAGGTCTCTTGAATGCCTTTCGGAGCCTCTTGGGATGTCTCTTGGGCGCTTCTTGGACGCATCTTGGGACGTCTGGGGGGTCTCTGAGCGGTCCTGGGGGCTCTTGGGCGTCTTGAGTGCGTCGGGGGGGGCCTCTTGGAGGCCTCTTGGAGGCCTCTTGGGGCCATCTTGGCGCCTCTTGGGGCCTCCTGGGCGCCTCTTGGGGCCATCTTGGAGGCGATTGGGAGCCCCCCAAATAGCCTCC